TGTACAGGGTTAGGGTGATTTTTTATTCCTCTTCCCAAGAGTGGAAGGCATACCACCCTGAAATCCAGATCCCCGATCTTCCTTTTGATCCTGCGGAGTGGATTTGGTTGACCTGCAAAAAAAGGAAAACCACGTGTATCGCAATCTCTAATAGTCAAGGCCACGTATAGGCTACTTTGCCCAAGAGTGGATATTGCAGCAATTGTACAGATACGGTGGGCTAGACACCTCAATGTAGATATAAATTTAATCAAACACATCAAGCTCTTAACTCAAGCAACGTCCAGCTAAATTTGCCTCTCTGCAGTGGCATATAATCCATCGGTGTTTGCCCACAAATGATTGGGTGATTGACCGCTCGACGCTGGAACAACGAGGCCTGGTAGTGCCATGGTGTAAGTTTTGTGTATCTGCATTCCCTAGTCGAAGATTCCGGGAAACCATTGAGCACATCTTTTTGCAGTGTTCTGGTTCGGCGTTGATATGGCATAGGTGGGATTGCATTTGGAGGACTATGACAAGTCTAGATTGGCCCTGGGATTGGAGGGCTATTCTTCTAGGTTATTGGGAGCCTGCAGACATTCAGTTATCAGACTTTTGACAAAACTTCTTTATGATTGGGCGTAAGGTTGTTCTCTGGACACGATGGTACAAACGTTGTGTAAGGGAAAGAGAAGAAGGTTAGAAGGCTCTGATATTGTGGAACTAATTGTGGATTTTGTTCAAACAGAGGTTCGGGCACAATCAAGTTATATAAATTTCATTTAAAAAGAGATATAAAGAAGGCAATCCAACAATTTGAAAAAAATTGGCTTGGAAATTCTGCAGGGGGGGGCCTGGGTGAGGTGAAGTGGCCAGGGGCGGATGGGGCTGAGGAGCCTTTCAGAAAGGACTTTCGGCTCTTTTTCCGAGACTGGTTCAAACTTCAGCCGGGAGCTTCGCTCAGATCTCCTCAATTTTTCACAGATCCATTCCCACCTTCCAATCTTACTTTTGTTGATCTACAATGGTTTGGATTAGAGGGAGAGTGAAAAAGTTCAATGTGTGCACAATAACAAAAGAGGGCTTGGGTGCTGGGTTTGATAAGCTAATCTGGTGGTACTTAATTAGACTGAAGACGTGCCCAGGTCTCAATCCCTTTTTATCCGAGCTATCAATAGGATCAGGAACATCATCAGGGACGTTGGGCTGGTTCCCAGCACGTGTTATTTTACCATTTTTCAAGGGACGCTGGACCCGTTTTCCAGCAGGTGCAGCTCCCCACCAATAGAATGGAGCCCCCTGCATAACAGGTAGGAGTGCATGCTCTTCTATCCCTTGTTGCGGGTGTTACAAAAAAAAAAAAAAAAAAAGAAAGATCGTCACACCGTTATCGGACTCTACCTCACACACACCCACATCCACAGGAACGGGGAGACAGAGGCGCGGCCAGTCAAGACTTGGCTAGGGATGATTTTTGGGTCACCCTACTCAAGACCTGTGAGGCAGCTGCCATTGCCAGACCGCACCCCCCCCATCCCGCTGTGAGAATGTCCTTCGCCAGCCATTGTTTGGCAACAAATGGATAACCGATCCTCAGGCTGCATAAACCAAAGCTCGGAGTCCCCCGGGTGGGGCACACAGGCAAAGGACTGGAAGACGGACACACAACTTCAACAGGCCCTGCGTTACGCTCACCATGCCTCGGACAATCTAGAACGGATAGTGTTTTCTATCCCACTAGTGTGGGTTGTCACCGTGAGAAAGGGTCCGTCCCTGCACGACGCCCCCCCCCCCCCCGCCATTGGGAACATAGTAGAAGTAAGGCCTGAAGGGGCCCTGGTCAACCTCTCCCACAGAACTAGCACCGATGCCCTGATCAGGTACACGCCCGACACAGTGAAGTTGTATGGAAGGGAGGACCTTTACAGGATCCGAGTCCTCCGCACCCCGACTGGATGCGCTGGTCTACCGCCCAGAGCTCTCCATCTCATCACTGGCACGCAGCCCTGCAGACAAGGCCTGGCAAAGCAGGAGAACATAGAAAACTTGTACGTTCCATTCCCTTACGGTTAAGACCACCTACCGCATGCTTAGACCCAAGGTACACTTGCACGTCGTGCGGGCATTGATCAACGAGAGGTGGCAAGGCACCTCAAACTGGATAGAGAAACTCTCAGCCACATAAAATGGTTTCGAGCCATGAAGGAGAGACCTGCTAAGTTCGGCTTGCTTCAATGGCAGATCATACACCGCTGCCTTCCCACCAACGATTGGCCAATCGACTATTCCCACCTCGAGCAGAATGGCCTTGCCCTGCCGTGGTGCAAGAGCTGCCACGAGCGTTTCCCGAGCTGCAAAATCCGGCAAACCATCGAGCACATCTTCCTCCAGTGCCCCGGCTCCACTAATGGTAAACGGGGACCCCCTATTTTCAGGTCCTGCCCAACGGGCCCAAAACCGAATTTAGGGTTTGGGGGTCAATTTTCTCCCCGGCTCGGCTCCTCACAACAAGAGCCTACAAAATCCAAACCTGACCACGAAGTGACACTCAGCCATTCAAACCTCAACCTGCCTCAACCCCCTAACCTCGCTACCAAGCCTCTACGAGGCCTCAAACCCCCAACTGCTAGGTTATGAGGCAGCACGGCCTGCCTCAGAGCAACCCCATCTTCCTCAAGTGCCCTGGCTCGGACTGCCTGGGGGCGGAAAAGGGGGTTGGATGACCCACGTGGAAATGGCCTGGGGAAGTTGTGCATGAAAGTGGCTTGTATTTCAATCGGTATGCCATTCTTCGGGCATACTCAGTGGGACCAGAAAGTCGCAAAATCTGCAGCCTTTGCAATCATGAAGTTGCAGATTTGCGCTAGGCAAAGCCTCAATCCCGGTGGTTCTCCTACCACCACCAGGATAGAGGTCTTGCACAAGGGCCTTATTCAAAAAAAAAAAAAAAAACAGAAGTTGCAGATTTGCACCTTGCCCAGGTTACACTTGCATCACCTTTAGGGCAAGACAAGACGAAGTCGTGGTGTTCTCCCAATCGCTCATTGGGATCGAAGTGTAGTCACAACGGGACTGGTGCTGCCAATCTTTGTTTTTTGAGTTAACTCACACAATCGTCATCATGCAGGAACACACAATGGTCAGTGAATGACAAATCACAAAGAGATAACAATGTCGTCAAACAACCCCACAGAAGAAGAAAAAAAATGGAAACAAAAGAGTAACTCAAGATGATGCTCATTCATTAGAATGTCTTCTCCTCCCTCTACAAACTCCAGGCTCTTCTCCTCCTGAATACCACCTCAGCAAGTCATCACCCTATCTATACTGCCACTGTGCTGACCTGCTCTCTCCCAAAACCTCGCCAATGTCGATCTCATAGTTTGTTCCACTCGCACGCTGGAGGCCTTTGATAAGCTGAGAGGGCAGCGGCTCAGCCCTAGCAAGTACAACACTTGATATGGCAATGTCTGTAAGCGCCTTCTCCCTCTCCTCAATCGCCACACTGGCAGGTAAATCCGAGGCAAGTTTCTCTCTCTCTCTCTCTCTCTCTCTCTCTCTCTCTCTCTCTCCCCTGGAAATCAAGTCTCGTGCGAGGTTACGGTGCATCACATTGTTGTCAAATTTTCAATAAATTCCGCTCGGGAATTTTGAATGTCAATTTCAGGTTTATGTATGCTGCATAGGGAATTTTGAATACCAATCTTCTTTTTATATTAGATCCGAATTTCTTGATTGATATTCTTGTGAATATTCCTTTTATGTGTCTCGTTGTTTCTTGCCGTCTATTATGTGGGAAAGAAAGGTGGTGAGTTCGACAGGAGTCACAGGACGATCAGGTGACGACGGACAAACCTGAAGTGGACAAGGATGTAGCGCATGGCAGTGACGATGGTGGATAGCTGGTCTAGGCCTTCTATTTATTCTATGACAATGGCTGGGGCGATCACCTGAGCAGAGAGGCAGAAGGGTGATTGCAATCGAATCTATCGCATGCCATGGACCGAAAGTGTATTCTGTCAACGTGTTCATCTCTCTCTTTCTCTTTCTCTGTCTCTCTCTCTCTCTCTCTCTCTCTCTCTCTCTCTCTCTGTCTCTGTCTCTGTCTCTCTCTCTCTCTCTCTCTCTCTCTCTCTCTCTCTCTCTCTCTCTCTCTCTCTCTAAGAATCGGCTATGGTGGCAAATAGTGAATGAGTGCCTCCTACTCCTAGTCTCCTAGCTATGGCTATCAATCACACGCTAGTCTCTCTGTGCCTCTCCTTGTCTGCCTTCTTCCAGCAGTGCTGGCGCTCCAGCAAGCCCACTGTAGAATGAATGAACAACACTGGGGCAGGTCGGCTTGTCTGAGGTCCAACCAGCCTGGCGTGCCTCCTTCTCTGGCTCCGGAAGAGCTGATATTCTTCTACCTGGGTGGCTGAGAACTGGCCGGCCGCAATCTGAGGCCACCTGGACCCTGTAGGCCCTGGATGCTTATGGAAACAGATTCTGAGGCCTTGGATTTGGGTGCGATCTGTGGCCGTGGTTGCCTTCCACAGAAATCTTTAACTCTTGGTCTATTGGACCAAGTTGATCGTGACTTTTGACTTTCAGTCTGGACGCTGTACCGGTATTGTCTTCACCCAAATAGAGCACATGGTCATTTTCCCGGTATCTAGACTGGAACTTGCCCCAAATACAGCTATAATGACAGTGCATTCTATTCCGGGTAAGATGCAAGGCAGTCCACCTGAGCACTTTTGTTTGCACACCCCTAGCACACCCTACAGCCCGACTTCTGACCCCAAAACTTTGAGTGGCAAATTCTAGAACACCCTAGAACTTTAAGACTTTGAGTGGCAAATTCTAGCACACCCTAGAACTTTTGTTTGCACCCCTAGCAACCCTAGCACACCCTACAGCCCTACTTCTGACCCCAGAACTTTGAGTGGCAAATTCTAGCACACCCTAGAACTTTGAGACTTTGAATGGCAAATTCTAGCACACCCTACAACTTTGAGACTTTGAATGGCAAATTCTAGCACACCCTAGAACTTTTGTTTGCACCCCTAGCACCCCTAGCACCCCTAGCACACTCTACAGCCCAAACAGTTGAAGACTACTGCAAAGCTGGCTGGACTGGGGTTCCCACAGTCGAAGAGAGACAGAAATGAATAAAAAATTGAGGAGAAGAATATACCTTTCTGTTTCCCTTCATATCGGCACGCAGTAGGTTTTGGGGCCAAAAACAAACAAATAAATAAAGTTAAATTAAGTTAAATAAATACTAACTTAAATAAACGTTTTCAAAAGCTCATGCAGCCCTGATCCCAATCTCCTCAATCCCTCCCTCTCCCCTCTTCCCTGCCTTTGCTAAAAACATTGGCGGAATCGATATCCACATCAGAAATGGGTAAAAAAGAAAAGATTCTTTGCGACGACTTGTCAGGAATGCTAGGCAGTGGTCCCCCACTCAGCATTTGGAAATTCCATCTGCAAAACAAATCTCCAAATCACATATGTGCGGGCAATAATGTCGCTCGAATATCTGGAACAGCCCCACGTCTCTGGCGTCCATGAACTTTTCTAGCCGCTTCAGATTCTTCTTTAATGCACAAGCTGTACCAAAAGAGGACACATACAAAAAGAGGAGAAGAAGAGGATGCGTACACATACACACATATGTTAGCTGTTTGACCAAAAGGGGTTCATATCTATCCATCTCTCTCTCTCTCTCTCTCTCTCTCTCTCTCTCTCTCTCTCTCTCTCTGTCTCTCTGTCTCTGTGTGTGTGTGTGTGTGTGTGTGTGTGTGTGTGTGTGTGTGTGTGTGTGTGTGTGTG